AGAGAAATAAAATACATAAATTAAAAAAGGGCCTCCCTGGTGGCAAAGGCAGTTGAGCGCAGCCATGTGAAGCTGTCTGCAGCTACAGCAAGGGTTCGATCCCAGCCAACCAGTGAGATACCCACATGGCACAGCAGACCTATCCTGCCTCACCTGCTGCTCCCCTCAGCAGTGTATTTCAGTCAGTCTGCCTGTTCTGCTCCCTGCTCTGTTTCTGGTGAATCCTCTCAATCTCCTGCACATCTGTCTTGTACCCCAGTTCTTGTATGAATGAATAAATCTTTAAAAATAAATAAATTGGGCCTCCTTGTGGTGCAGGCAGTTGAGTGTAGCACTGTGAAGCTGTCTGTGGTCTCTGCAGGGAGGGTTCGATCCTGGCCAGGTTGGGAGATAACCCACATGGTGCAGCAGACCTCTCCTGTTTCGCCTGCTACTCCCCTCAGCAATGTATTTCAGTCATTCTGCCTGTTCTGCTCCCAGCTCTGTCTCTGCTGAATCCTCTCACCCTTCTTCACCTCTGGCCTGTACCCAGGTTCTTGAATGCATAAATAAATAAATCTTTTAAAATTAATTAATTAAAATTAAAAATGACTTGTAATTAGTAAAAAGACCCAAAATTCTGCCATTAGAAATAGCTAGAACAGCTTTAAATACTTAAAACTGAACTTTTGAATCAGAGTGCAAGAAGCAAATTTCTAGCTTCACCAGTTACCAAATATATGCATTGAGCTAGTTTTGTATTTTAACTTTCTGAGAGTCCTCTTCAATAAGATAAGGAAAATAATCTAACAGGTTTTTGGAGGTAGAAGTAAATTGATACACAGAATGTGTAGAAAAGTGCTTGGAATAGAGCAAGCATTCAAAATTGGTACCTAACAAATCTGTAATGAACAAAACCTGAAATTAATTTCTTTTACTTGAAGTAGGTGTTCCTGATTGTCATTGAGCTCTCCTCAGTCACAATCTCTTTCCTTCTTGAGACCTAGCATCTTCAAATGGTTGTTGAGATGTCTATGAATATCTGTTTTAAGTTTGTATAAAGGACCATGAAGAATTGCATGTGGGAATTGGTGAAGTAGTTTCATCATTTTTTATCACCTCCTTTCCTCTTGAACCCGGTCATGTCAACTCATTGAATTAAAAGCATGGGTGGAAAATGATGTCTAGCCCTGTGCCCAGGAAGAAAAGAGAAATGGAGTTAGAAAACACCTAGCTGATTTCTACTTTAGTTTCTTTTGTTTCGCTCATCCTCCCTCACAGATAATTATAGTTCTATAGTAGCTCATCTGTGAAAAAGTTTATATAGTCAAAGGTAAGCAGTATATATTTAATTATGCAAAATGTGTTCTAATTACATTCAGAGGTTGGGGTGAAGTGGCAGAAAGAAATGTGTGCATTGGAGTGTGTGGGAGTTAGGGCAAAAAGAGAGCTAATTTCCTATCTTTTACACTTGGGAGTCAGTAACAGATATTTCAAACTGTAAATACAAAAAATAAGTCTATAAATGCGTCACTTAGAATAAAAGTAAAAACCAAGTGGAAGAGTTGAAAGTAATTGTCTCAGCATAGCAAAAAGGAGTATAGAAGCATGAGTCAGTGTCCTGCTATTGTACATTATAAAGCTATTAATCTATTTTTGCCTTTTTTACTATGTTTGCACACTGTTTGATTAAATAAAAAATAAATGGAATGTATAGAATCAGTAAAATTGGGAAACCAGTAGGAGTCATCAGATTAACATGCCAGTCAGCATGAAATTTGGAGACACACAGCTGATACAGATGTCAATATTGTGACTATAACAGACAAGAAGAAAAAGGATGTTAGTGGTGTTCAGATAGAGAATAATGACTGAGATCACAGGGACAATTTTGTGCTCTTTGAGCATATGCCCTGGTCATGCAAGATAAAGGAATTTGTAAGGATGGACATGCCTATTATTTCTCCCTATGGTGTGGTTACATAAATACACATAAATAGAGTGTGGATACATAGAGTTTCAGATTCCAAATTGTGTCAACTATTTTTCCAATTGAAATTCTATACTGGCTGACTATGGTGCCTCTGTCGCTTTTTGTGAATTGTCTGGGTTGTTGCAGCCTTGACTATGCTTCTTAACCTTGACTGCTTTCAGAACTTTGACCTTATCAAGGGGGAAAATAAAGGTCAACATTTTCTAAATTTACTGCTTTTGTAATTATGTGAAAACATCCATTACATGAACATTTATTTGGAAGAATTTCAAGTGTTTATTATAGTCATCAAATGTAATAGGAAAACATTGCAAATGATTTGAGCAAAGTAAATGTGGTACTTAGAAAGTCAAATCATCTTGCCAAGGTCATAGTTCGTGACTATTTGATTCTTATAATCTCTTAATGAAATCAGACATTGCAGCAACTACAGAAGGTCAGATCATTAAAAGACTGATGAGATGCCATGACACTTACAAACATAACACTTTCCTAAAGACAGGGTTCACCTATACATCAAGAGAAAGAAAGACCAGGCAGGTCCAAAGCATCAAAGGATACCTTCCATAGTGTTCACTCAGATCACAGATGATGTAGATAAGTGCAAAATGTCTCTGGGAAACCACAGCACAAGTTTTTTGAGGGCCATTGACACTTCCAGAGCAGATACTCAACTAGATAAAACAGGTATAGACTGCAAATGTATACATTCACAATAAATAATTTAGACAAACTGGTACAGGACACCTCTAGGGAAGTTTTGGTTTTGGCACATTGCAAACCATTTTGTTACCTTAATCTGAGTCAGTGACATGGTCCCAGATATTCCTAAGGATAATATTAGAGCTACCATAGATTATTTACAAATTAAATCCATACCAGCACACACAAACGTTGATCCTAAGCTATTTTTATTTTTTATTTTTTTTTGTAGAAGAATTTGGGTGTAGGACAGAGGTGGGGGAGGGATGAGGTGAGAGGATTCACCAGAGACAGAGTGAGGAGCAGAACAGACTGATCCACTGAAATGCACTGCTGAGGGGAGCAGCAGGCAAGACAGAAGTCTGCTGAGCCATATGTGGGCTAGCTCCCTGGCTGTGGATGGAACTCAGGCCATAGCTGATAGCACTGATACTTAACCCCTAGATCACCAAGGAGGTCCTGATCCTAAGCTATTTTTTCAAAGGAAGAAGGCCATAGTAGTATATCTGGAGAACAGTTTTCTATTTGTGGAGCTTACACAAACAAATGTGAAGCTTGAGTTTAACAAGTTTGCATGTGTGTTTGTGTTTTTATTGTTGCTGTTTCATTTTAAAATTTTCCTATATGAAATTAGAAAATTGCAATACTAAGCTAAAAGAGGAGAGAGGTTTGCAAAACAGAATCCCAGATAGTCATTAAGAAGAAAAGGAGGTCATGCAAATATTTAAAAAAGCTGCCTTTTATCTTTGAAAGCACAATATTTAAGGGGCTCCCTGGTGGTGCAAGGGGTTGAGATGCAACCCATGAATCTATCTGCAGCCATTGCAGCACAAGCTAGATCCCCAGCCAGGAAGCTACTTACATGGCTCAGCCGACCTCTCCTGACTCGCCTGCTGCTCCCCTCAGCAGTGTATTTTGGTCAATCTACCTGCTCAGTTCCCTACTCTGTCTCTGGTGAATTCTCTCTCTCACACACACACCCACACCTCTGGCCTGTACCCAAGTTCTTGTATGCATAAATAAATAAATCCTTAAAATAAATAATTAAAATACAATATTTAATATTGGCTTTACAGATATCTTGCCATATTCCATATATGTAGAACCACGATCCAGGGGGTCTCCCTGGTGGCTCAAGATTTAAGCACAGCACTATGAGGCTATCTGCAGCCACTGAAGCACGAGCTCGATCCCTGGCCAGGGAGCTACCCACGTGGCACAGCAGACCTCTCCTGACTTGCCTACTGCTCCCCTCAGCAGTGTACTTCAGTCAATCTGCCTGTTCTGTTCCCCCTCTGTCTCTGGTGAATCCTCTCCCCCCCACACACCTCTGGCCTGTACCCCAGTTCTTGTATGCATAAATAAATAAATCCTTAAAAAAAAAAGCAAAAAACCATGATCCAAGGAAGTAGCCACGGACAAGTTGCTAAGAGCGAAAATCTGTAGTTATATATGGAATATGGCAAAATATACAACAGCTCTAAGATGTCCTGAGGAAAAGGAAATGGCAATCGAAGAGAATGCCCTGAGTAACTGTCAGATCTTGCTTTCTCTGACTGAGGAAAAAGAACAAGTTCTTCAAAATTTGGCAACAGAATAATCACTTTCATTTTCTGTTTTGGTAACTTTAACTCTATCTGATTGGAAAATAAAATCTTCGATAGCTTTGTTACTGAATTCTGGAGAGTTAGTTTCTCCTTGTCATGCCAAAATTTCCTTGAGTTCTCAAAATGAAATGTGTGTGTTCGTTGTTTTGGGCTGCCCATTTTGCAAATTTAGATTTTCCTAATTTTAAAAATGTTCTGTAACAGCAACTTAGATAATTGAACTACTTCTACTTTTCTAGTAGATAGCACTGTGTTTTTTATATGATTTTAGGGTTTGGCTTTTTCTACTTCCTATAAACCCAGAGACTTGCTCTTGCAATGCTGAGTCAGGGAATAGGGAGGACCTTGAAGATTCCAACTGTTTATGTGAAAACTTAGACGTGGGGTTGGCTCACATTTGTGACACCACTGACAGCCCTCCGCTTTGGTCTTCTAGACCTGCAGCCCCAGTCTGCTCACTGTCAGGGCATGTGGTGAGGTCAGTGCCAGTCCAGGGGGTTGAGGGGCAGGGAGCACACATAAGGGCGCTGTCCTTGTCCTTTTACCTGGCCTGCTGGGAGCACCACACCTGCTCCGCACATATTTCCCCTGAGTTAAGCATGTGTGCTCCTACATGACTCAGGGCTCCCCTCCCAGGACCCTGACTGAGTGGCAGCACCACAGAGTGTGGCAGCCTCCATGTCCTCAACCACCACGTCCAGGCATTTCTCTCCACCTACCTCATAATTAATAAAGGGTGAATCCTCTCCATGTTGCTTCTAGTTCTGTCTGTTGGTCTCTGATGTCAAAGACTAAAGTTTTCCTCCCAAGTGACAGGATTCTCTGGCCATAATGCCTGAATGGGTAACATAAATAATCAATCATTTTAGGAATGAGACGAAGAACCTCTTCTAGTGCCATCTTTGTATGTCTAACTCCAATAATCGAAAACTTCATTTTGAATAGAGGTGATTTGAGGTAACAGAAGTCACTGTCATCCAGACCAGCCTTTATCACAATCAATAAGCCCAGGTATCACCAGCAATCCCTGGCACTCAAAGATGTGGCTCTTCTAAATTAGAGCTTTGTGGCTCTAAATGGCTTACTCCATTTCCACTCCAGAGATTTCATCCCCATACCGGATTGCTTTTCTTACCAGGAATTAAAAAACATCCTTCCACTCAGTAGGTACTCTTTGGTCTCTTGAAATTCCTCTTTAACAATAAAGAGGCAAGTTGGAAGGTGACATTAACTTAAAACATAGAATTCAAAGGAAGTTTCAAAATCACTCTGAGGTTGTTGACCTAAACAAGTAGAAGAAAAGTGAATTCTATTTTTTGGTTTAGGAAAGATTTTGAGAAAATGAAATTTGGACAAACTTTCAGACTTCGTGTTGACTTTGAGCTTCATGGCTGCCAGAGTAAAGAAGATTTGATAAAGTATATGACTAGGCATCCAAATAAAATTTCTTCAGTAAAGAGAATCTTTTGTTACTTTACTTTCTTTGCTACTGATAATATCCATGAGGAAAGATTTTTTCTTAAAAAGAAAAATTTGACTCTTTTACCAGACAGAATGACTTATGTCAATATTTTAGGGAAAAGTCAGGTGTGTTTGCCTCTATTCTGTTTCCTTTAGTGAATGTGGGAGTAATATTTGGAAATTGTTTACCTTTTCAAGAAAAGCAAGATTCTGGATTATATTGTGGGGAATCTTCCAGTTTTTAAGTAGGACAACTAATTTAAAAAATACTGTTCAGGCCAAAAATTGAATGACTGCATTCTGAAATAAATCCATTCACTGTCCAATGTTTGTGACTTTTATCCTTTATCTAAACATAGACATCACAGGATAAGTTGTTGCTTACAAAGTAGATGATACACTGAGGACAATGAATTTAGATGCCATTGTTAGGAGTATTTTTTGTTTTTTATTCACTAGTTGGAAGAAACTATGGTAACATTTTATAAAAATCTTAGTTTCTTTCACGAACTGTCCAATTAAATCTCTACAGTTGTTGTTTCTGTTAATCAAAAACAAATTGTACGAAAACCATAGTAAATCTCTAGAGACAGGAAATTGTGTATCTGTTTATATACTATATTCAATTAATTCATTCAGAGAAAATGTAACAGAATTAGATATGTATTTCTCCTGAAATTTGTTTTCTGTGTTTATTTTTATGCTGTTTCATTATGCCAAATCAATGCAACAATTGCAGTGACAATACATTTTTTTAAAATGCTTGCTTTACAATTCCATTAAGATCTGGAACAAGACAAGGATGTCCACTCTCACCACTGCTTTTCAATATAATACTGGAAGTCCTAGCCAGAGCAATAAGACAAGAGAAAGACATCCAAGGAATCCAAATAGGAAAAGAAGAAGTCAAACTATCACTATTTGCAGATGATATGATAATATACATAGAGTAGAGAACCCCAAAAACTCCACAGAAAAACTAATTCAACTCATCAATCAGTTCAGTAAAGTGGCAGGATACAAAATCAACACGCAAAAGTCAGTAGCCTTCCTATACACAAACAAAAAATCTGAAGAAGAAGAAATCAAAAAAACCATCCCTTTTTTTATTGAAACAAAAAAAATCAAATATTTGGGAATAAATCTAACAAAAGTGGTAAAGGACCTATACAAAGAAAACTATAAAACACTGTTAAAAGAAATAGAAGAAGACACAAAGAAATGGAAAGACATCCCCTGCTCATGGATTGGAAGAATAAACATTATTAAAATGGCCATCCTACCAAAAGCAATATACAGATTCAATGCTATTCCAATCAAAATTTCAATGTCATTCTTCAAAGAAATAGAACAATTATTGATGAAATTCATATGGAATCACAAAAAACCTCGAATAGCCAAAGCTCTCCTGAAAAAAAAAGAAGGGAATGGAGGCATCACACTCCCAGACTTCAAACTATACTACAAAGCCATAATCATCAAAACTGCATGGTATTGGAATAAGAACAGACATACAGACCAATGGAATCGAATAGAAAATCCAGAAATAAACCCACAGATTTATGGTCAACTAATCTTTGACAAAGGAGCAAAGACTATGCATTGGAGCAAAGAGAGTTTGTTCAATAAATGGTGCTGGGAAAACTGGGTCGCTACATGCAAAAGAATGAAGCTTGACCACTACCTCACACCATACACAAAAATCAACTCAAAATGGATTAAAGAACTAGACATAAGACCTGAAACCATAAAATATATAGAAGGAAATATAGGCGAAACGCTACGTGATTTGCACATAAAAGACATCTTTACAGACACATCACCCAAAGCAGTGAGAGTGAAGGCAAAGATAAACAGCTGGGACTACATCAAATTAAAGAGCTCCTGCACAGCAAAAGAGACAATAACAAAAACAAAGAGAAACCCCACCAACTGGGAGAACATTTTTGCACCCAACACTAATGATAAAGGACTGATCACAAAAATCTGCAAAGAGCTGATGAGACTCAGCAACAACAAAGAAAATAATCCAGTCAAAAAATGGGCAGAAGAGCTAAAAAGAAACTTCTCTGAAGAGGAAATGCGAATGGCCAACAGGCATATGAAAAAATGTTCAACATCACTTGTCATCAGGGAAATGCAAATCAAAACTACCATGAGATACCATCTTACACCAGTGAGAATGGCACATATTAAAAAAACTAGCAACAACAAATGTTGGCGAGGGTGTGGAGAAAAAGGAACTCTCCTGCACTGTTGGTGGGAGTGCAAACTGGTCCAACCACTATGGAGAGCTGTGTGGAGATTTCTGGGCCTACTAAACATAGAGCTTCCATATGATCCAGCAATTCCACTCCTAGGTATTTACCCAAAGGACACAGAAACATCAATTCCAAAGAACACCTGCACCCTATGTTTATTGCAGCACTGTTTACAATAGCTAAGCTTTGGAAACAGCCCAAATGCCCAAAAATAGATGACTGGATCAAGAAGATGTGGTACATATATACCATGGAATATTACTCAGCATTCAAAAAAGATAAACACATGCAATTTGCAGCAACATGGATGGCGCTGGAAGGGATCATGCTCAGCGAAATAAGCCAAAAAGAAAAAGAAAAATACCGGATGTTCTCACTCATAGCAGGAATCTAGAAAACCTAAATAAGGGACCAGGAAAATGAATAACTATAAGAAAGTGAAAATCAAAATCAACAAAAAACTATGAACCAGAGACACTTTTTGGGGGGCGGGGGTGGGTGGGGAGGGATTGGGGTCAGAATGGGGGGGCTGCAATTGTATGGGGAATATAAAAATAAAATTTATTATTTAAAAAAAAATAAAATAAAATGTGTTAAATTATACCACATGTAAAAAAAAAATAAAATTAGAATATATAACAAACAAAAAAAAAAAGTCTTTACAGGCAATCAGCTAAAAGTTACGTTTACTCTTTTATTTTCTTTATATATAAATTATGCCCAAGAGTGCCATGATAACAGCACTATACAAACTATGCTTTAGCTTTGTATTTGCCTCTTGTCAAAATAAACTTTACAAATTAAAAAAAAAAATGCTTGCTTTATTCAATCTTAAATAACTATTTTACTATATTGTTAGTTAATATAATTGAATTAAAAAGAAAAAAATATTATCCCCATATCCTAACAACAATTAGTCAATTTTCAGTCTTAATATAAAATTGTGATATAAATTATTCTATGTAAACTTGAAAAGTGGCAGATAATATTTAATTGGTGATATGCTAATTAGCATACATTATTATGAATAGCTACTATATATTAAGACAAAGTGTTCTTCCTTTTAATTAAAATATACAAGCACTGTGTTGCTGAGTCTGTAAATATGATGTTTATTGATAGGTACATGCAGTAGACAAACAAGTAAGCACAGTTTCCCTGGGAAATGATGCCTAAGATTCTGTGAATAAATTCATCTTGATCTGTGCTGGTAGTTATACTTTCTCTTTTAATTTGTAATATGTTTAGTTAAAAGTGTTTGAGGCAATTTGTGAAAACACAGGTACAAACTGAAAATACAAAACAAAAAACAAACAAAAGGAAAGACTGAGAATTAAGCATCACATAGTGAAAGATAAAAAAGTGAAAAAGTTTTGTCTTGTCTAATAATAGTAAAAGTCCACACTGATATAGAATGTTTCCAGATGTTGTATTGTGTTTCCTGGTATCTGATCAGCTTGACTTGTGATACAGGTCAAGAATATGTGAACTAGAAATTCAAAAATTGAGCCTAAGTTCTAGAATGTGGAGCTTTTATTAATGTCAATATAGATCGGCAGAGATTGAAGCAAATGTTAGCTTCTGTGTTTTTCTTTCCATGTATCTTCTTGTTAAAAGATGATGAAATTATGAAGCAAAGATTAAGATGTGGACTTTTGGCAATAATAGCAAAGGGGATCTACTCTCTCATCATTGAGTTGATATTGTGGTTTCTAAACCCTGAATCCACCCTGAGTCAATTATATAAGAATCTCTGTAGTACGGTTTTGATATCTATTTTTCTTAAGTAATCCAAAAGATTCTGTTATGAAGCCAAGACCAATAACCACTACTGCAGGCTATATGGGGTACATACATTCTAGTGTAATTCATCAAATAAATTATATTACACATAGAAAATTAAAATCAAAATATATGCATCCAGTGGTGTCCTGGAGCTTGAAAGCAAGGCAAAAAGGACAGAGCTTTCAGGAAATCAAGCCTTTGACATAGTTAATCAACAAATATGCAATGCTCTTAAATAGTTTATACATGCAAAGTTAAATATTTGTGTTTTAACAAGAAACATGGTAGGATAAAGATTTGTAAAAATAGAAGAGAAATGAAGTAGGAG